CCCCATGGTCATTCCACAGTATAACTCCCTTGTACCAGACCCCTCCCTTTCAGTTTTACATGAAACAGTCTCATTCCAGGCACATCCCATTGTCCTGCCACAACCAAACTCTGACCTTGCTATAAGTTAGGAGAAGACGAAGCTGCATCCCAAATTTGGTGGTCCTAGCTCTTACCATTTAGGAGGAGTTCTTGAACAAACAGACTCACAGATGGACAGGCAGACATACATTTCTAAAATATTGTCACATCAGGGTGACCATTGTTGCTGCCAGAACTGATTAGCAGGAGGAAGTCCTGGTACTGTGGCACAGAGCAGCCTGCTTTTTCCAGGATTTCTGCCCCTTGCCCAGCTGCTACCTGACAAGCTGTTACTCAAAAAGAGCACAGATTTCCTGTCTGTACAGACTGTAGCAAAACCTGAAAGGGGTTATTATGTAGCTTTTCTTCCTAGTGATTTCAGCACTGTAGATCCATCAGCAGTAGAACAAAAATGCCTTGCATGAAACTCTGAGTTTTTAATGTGTTTCCTGACAAAAATTTGATTTCCAAATAGCCTGATGCAAAACTACCCATTTTAAAAGTTCTTGTTCAGAACTGTTCTGCCCCACAAAATCTCACCTGTAAACCCATTGCAGCAGTTGATGAAAAATCCTCCAAATCCCAACAAAGACAGTCAGAGCAGCTTATATAGCAGAGCTAAAGTGAGCCTCAGCTCTGAGATAAAATAAAACCTAGCTACATCGAGCCGCACATCTACAAGAAGTGTCTATGAGAGCTAAAGTGAGCCTCAGCTCTGAGATAAAATAAAACCTAGCTACATCGAGACAAGAAGTGTCTATGAGAAGTGCCAAAAGACACCCGAAGGAGCCAAAGGGATATGCTCACCATTTGTAGCCTTTGCCTTGCTTAAACTTGAGGGTGAGACCAGCTTCCAGGCACAGGAGGAGGTTGAGCAATGCTAGCAGCCAGTACTTGGGTTCCTTCTTCACTTCAGTCACCCTCCAGACCCCGACCAGAGAGTGTAAAACAAAGAGCAGCCGTGTAACCAAGGCATTGATCAGCACTAGCAGCTCCATTCTGAGCTGGTCCCTCACCCCGGCGCAGTCCCTTTTAGAGACGATGGGAAGTTTCCCTGGGAATAACTGATGTGTCTATGCAAAACGAGCAGACAGATCTTTCCTCTTGTTCCATCTCGACAAAGGGGCCCACTAAAACAAAAAAACTGCATCGCCCCTCCCCCAGACTTCCTGAGAACTCTTAAAAAAAAACTCAAACCAGGCTTTTAAACTATAGTGGCGGCCAATGCAGGACTCTGCACAGCACCGGCTGATCTCATGGGCTTACAGACACATAAAGGATTCCTTCCCCTCCCCTTCATATCCTCCACCTCCACAGTGGTTAGAAAAGTTAGAGATTTGCATCTGATGAGGTTTTTTTCATCCCTTTGCTTTTATCCTTTTTCTCCGTTTGCTGCTGCTGTTTCATTTATATCAAAGGACAAAAGATGTTGGAAATATTACTAAATGAATCAGCTTCTGCAGTTGGAATTGTAAAATCCCTCTTTCCTGATAAATACTGCTTTAGCAAAATAATTTCAGCTGTCATGGTCTGACAAAGTAATGAAAGGAAGAATATATATAACTCAGGCTAAAATCTGGGCTGACTCTCTAGCCTTACCTCATGCCATTAGGGAGAAATAGAAAAATACACAAAAATCCGAATGTTGTGCCAGTAAAGTCTTTGCTTTTGCATATTCCTTGAACTTCCATAGAAATAGTATGTAAAGTGACTTCACTGTGCATCCTAAAATTTCTTGGTTATAGAAAATGGATTTATTTACACTTCATAACATACAAAAAAAATTCCAAATGAAAGCTAAATGTTAGACTGAAACGTTATTGTGTTGTTCCAGTGATATCAACTGAGACACATGGGTGTAAAAGGGCAGCATTAAAGCTGAGACTCGGGTACATTGTGGTTTATTTGGGCTCCTTAATGATTTGACTCTTTAGCTTATATGATGATTTTACATATCCTGTGCTCCTCTAGATGTTAGCAAACATTTTTGCAACAATTTGTGATGTTTACCAGAGCAGTAGTGTGTGTTAATTCAGATCACCAGATTATTTCAGTGTAAAAAAGCAAAGCATGAACTGATACCCCTACCCCCACATACACCCCCGCCAAAAAACAAAGCAAAGCACACCATTTCCATAAGGATCACAAGGAGACAACCTATATTGTTGAATAAATAACATGCCTTGATAACATATTCACTAGTTCATTGAAATGATCCTTGAATCTGTAACTCTGAAGGATACTTTTTTCTCTTAAATTTTACTGTGGCAGCAAAAAAGTCTTTTTGGGGGCTCTCCAGATGATTTGGCTTTGAGAGGTGGAATGCAATGTGATTAGAAACAGCTTTACAGTTTACAAAAGCTACGTGAAGTCTCTTAAATGTTGTTTTAGTTAGTTGTATAGCGTGTGCCCATCCCAGTCCCTAGGTGCCCTTAAAAAAATGTCTGATAGAAAGAATAAATATCTAATATTGGAGGAGGGAAGGGGTGGAAAGACCAGTAATACTAAAATTCTCATTCCTAAACCAAAACAAAGAAGCCACTTCCTCCACTTAAACCACTCACTCAGGAAATGCCTGAGTAAATGGATGGGCTTTGCAATTTGACTTTGAGGTCAACAAAAACTAGTCAGAGAGGAAATTAATTTCAAACAAAAGCCCACAGCTAGTGCCAGCCAATAGTATCCTCTCCCACTTCGAATCTAGAAGGGATCAGTTCATGTTCTCAAGTGGATTTCTACAAGAAAAGACCCAACCTCCAGAGTAGCCAAGAGTGAAATTGTGCAAGGACACTGTATGCATGTCCAAGCTGGTAGTATGTGCATGAAATCATTAGCAGGTATTGGTCCTGAAGGAATGATTTAACTGGATTCTGCAAATCCAATGAGGCAGATAGCATGTTACCTCATGTAGATATGGAGGCAGGAAAGGAACTATCATGCAAGCTGAACAGTCGAAATAGGAACTCTGGAAACAGCCAGACCTCAGGAGAAGGTTTTCAGTTTAACCATTGCCAATTTCTTCCTTTGGCTCTCCATAGTGTATGGACTTTGCTTTAGAGTGAGCAGGAAGAGAAGCCTGTTTACAATGGGATTCTAATTTTTAGATGATTTTTCCCCTTTATCAGACAGATTTCAACTCTAGATTGATTTCAGCAGCTTGAATCGAAACAAAAGTTGAATTCCATGCTTGCGTGCCTGGTCACCAAGATGAGACCATGCAGCCAACCAAAGGTCATGTTATTCAGTGTCTGTAGTAATATTAATAGTTTTGTCCTTCAAGTTTTGCTCAACTGAATAGCTAAGTAGGTAGATCTCAGATAAATGCTTTTTGTTAGCTGCAGTGCACTTTTGTTTTTACAAGGTAAGAATATCACCAGTAATATTGGTTCTCCTCTGTGGCTACGTCTACACTGGCCCCTTTTCCGGAAGGGGCATGTAAATTTCACTAGTCGTCGTAGGGAAATCCACGGGGGATTTAAATATCCCCCGCGGCATTTAAATAAAAATGTCGTAGGAATAAGAGCCTCCGGAAAAGGGCACTTTTTCCGGAGGATCGGGGCCAGTCTAGACGCTCTTTTCCGGCTTTTTTAAAAGCCGGAAAAAAGCGGCGGACATTTTTATTTAAATGCCGCGGGGGATATTTAAATCCCCCGCGGATTTCCCTACGACGACTGCTGAAATTTACATGCCCCTTCCGGAAAAGGGGCCAGTGTAGACGTAGCCACCGTGTTTTCCAAAAGCTCATTGATATTAGCACTTCATGTCTCACTGCACAGAAATGTCCTAAAAGAATATTATTTAAGGCAATACTTCACTAGAGTTTTGGCATTATCCCTAGGGTGCACCTACACTGCACCATTATTTCGAGATAACAAAATAGTGTTATTTTGAAATAACAATGCGAGTGTGTATACAGCCATTATGTTATTTCAAAATAATTTCAAAATAACAGATGACACATTCCGAAATCTGTAAACCTCATTCTAAAAGGAATAATGCCTATTCCGAAATAGGTGTTTTGAAATAAGGGGTGTGTAGATGCTCCACTGCTGCTATTTTGAAGTAGCCCCTCACCATGGTCATTCTAAATTATTCCTCCCCGGTGCCTCCTGGGGCTCTATAGCATGTTTACATTAGGGAAGCCTGCCTCTGACTAATTTTGAGGTTTCCCTGCAGTGTAGATGTGCTATTTCGAAATAAGCTATTTTGGAATAACTATTCCAGGATAGCTTATTTTGAAATAAACTTGCAGTGTAGCTGTACCCCATTCATGCTAAGGGATTTTGATCAACTGCTACCCCAAAATCTCTTCCACACAACAGTAACACACACTTCTCCACCATGGCATAATCTCTCTCTCAACCAGTACTTTCAGATGGATAGATAATATAAATTGGTCTTTCCCCTTTTTAGACACCTTTTTACCAAGGAACCCCTTCAATATTTTCATAATGAGGTAAATGGCGGACAACTTCTTATCTGGCCCCATATTGCCTAGTAAATTTGGGGATTGTGTAAATATCAGCAACTGACACTTGTTATACCATAGCATAGACCATTATAAAAATATATTGATCTTTCTGATCTAGAATAAAGAGTGCTGGAGAAACCGATGGGCTTCCAGAAATTCTAATGACCCTCCTGCTACATCATTGAATTAATTGCTGTTTATGATATATACTAGCATATTAAGCGAGTCAGGAAAATGGCTAAAGGAGTAGGGAAAAAATTAGCTCTCAACTACAGAGCCAATGTGATTCCAGAAGCATTAAAATCCCTGCAGATTTACTGAAGACTCTGCCCTGGATTAGAATTTGATATAAAATAACTTAGCTGAAGTCATACGATTTCTATGCCATTTGTAACTGAGTTAATAGCATATGTTCCTAGAGGATTATACTCAATGAGTAAGGAAATTAGGGTTTGTTTGAATTTAATTTAGTTATATAAAGCTGCTACAATAATTTACAGCTTTGATATTTAATATTTAATAACCCAGATCTTAAAGGAATCCTAGATATAACAGTGTCATTATACATTCAACTATTATCCTCATAAGTCATTTATATTTGCTACTTGATACGAATGTTTATCAACCAAATGGGCTCAACAGGAGCTTTCTGATACAACCAATGCAGTTTGACAGACTAGTGTGGGGGGTGAGAGCTTTCCATGCCTGTTACCCATAATTCACTTGAGAAGATTTCTTCAGTCTCAGCTGCAATAAACAGTTACCGCAATGAGGCACTTCTTATATATTGTTTTCCTTCCTTTAATTTTTGAGCAAGTAGTGGTTTCCTTCACCAGCATTAGAAATTCATTTTCTTATAGACCTTCCTCTCTCGTTTTTTTCGGAATAACTCATCATCCTTACCTATTCCTTACCTATTCATCTTCCTTCCACTCACCTCCCTCTATTTTTGCCTTCACCTTTCCTGTATCTCTTCTCCCCAACTTCTCTCCCCTATCTATGTCTTTTGCTCCCTATAGCAACTCCTATCATCCCTCCATTGACCTATTTCCAACTGGAAATGAATGGTCAATTAGTTACCAAGATCATGTTATTTCATCCAACCATCCCCTTATCATAGAATCAGAACTGGAAGAGACCTCAGAAGGTCGTCAAGTCCAGCCCTCCGCTCTAGGCAGGACCAATCCCATCTAAATCAACCCGGCCAGGGCTTTGTCAAGCCGAGACTTAAACACCTCTAGGGATGGAGACTCCACTACTTCCCTAGGTAACCCATTCCAATGCTTCACTACCCTCCTAGTAAAATAGTTTTTCCTAATATCCAATCTGGACCTCTCCCACCACAACTTGAGACCATTGCTCCTTGTTCTGCCATCTGTCACTACTGAGAACAGCCTCTCTCCATCCTCTTTGGAACCTCCCTTCAGGAAGTTGAAGGCTGCTATCAAGTCCCCCCTCACTCTTCGCTTCTGCAGACTAAACAGACCCAAGTCCCTCAGCCTCTCCTCGTAGGTCATATGCTCCAGACCCCTAATCATTTTGGTTGCCCTCCGCTGGACCCTCTCCAATGCGTCCGCATCCTTTTTGTAGTGGGGGGCCCAGAACTGGACACAGTACTCCAGATGTGGCCTCACCAAAGCCGAATAAAGGGGAATAATGACATCTCTGGATCTGCTGGCAATGCTCCTCTTAATGCATCCTAATATGCCATTAGCCTTCTTGGCTACAAGGGCACACTGTTGACTCATATCTAGCTTCTCATCCACTGTAACCCCCA